TCCTGGAAGCTAGTGGAAAGGCAATAGCCCCTAAAATCCTGTTACATCTTAACCTTAATAAAAAACGAGGAATGATTAAAAAATGGCAACGGAATTATTGGCCTACTGATCTGAAAATGTGTTCTTGAACAGGTAACTCCTCAACGTTATATTATGCCCTGTCCAATAATAACTTGCCGTATTTATATCACAAAGATGTGCGACGACTGCTCCACAACGCATCGACATCCATCAAATACCTTCGGTAAGTTTCCAAACTGTACCGTTCATTCTTCCGGAATGCTAAAGAAAATTAATTGATTAGATAAATATTATAATATAACAATTTTTAAATATAAACGTTTTCAACTTACAGTTATTTAGATGGATGTCGACCGGTTTGGGAGCGACGTCTGTCACGGCATTGTTCTAATGATTTCGAACATAAATAATACAGGTACGGTCAGGTATATTAAATTAATTAAGTAGGTAGGTACTGTATTAATATAGTCTATTAATTATTATTTTACTATGCTTTTAGACTTATAACTTACATTATTGGATCGGACATACAGTAACGTCGAGTTGAGGTACCTGTCCATAAATACATTTTCGATCTTCCGTAAGCCGGCACCAACTCCGTTGCACATTTTCCAACACTATAGGCATTGAAAATATAAATTATTGTTCCACATAAATAAATAACAATTTATATTTAAGCTGAATGATGTACAAACCTCATTTTTATCTAGGTTTTTTGGGAGATGTAACAGTATTTTTGGGGCAATCGTTTTCCCCACTTCCAGAATCTTATCCACACACAAATCGAACGGCCCGATAACATCCATTTTATTATATTCTGGGCCGCCCCATGGTGGCGATGTGACTATAACGTCACCCTTAATCTGATTTGCCAGTTTGAAAAAGTCTCCAACAACGAACTCGATTTTTTCGAGTACTCCATAAATCCGGGCATTTTGCTTGGCCATCATAATTTTGTTGGCATCAATATCTACAGCAATGACTATTACAAACAGAAAATATTACAATTATTAGAAATTGCAGATAACATGTACTTAATATATTATCTTAACATAATATTATAAAACAAAGTCCCTTTTTTTCTCTGAATTCTTAGATCTTTAAAACTACGAAACGGATTTGGATGCGGTTTTTTATTAACTGATAGAGTGATTCAAGAGGAAGGTTTATATGTATATAACATGCATATATTGTAGAGAAACATTGTACCTTATTTTTTTACGTACGAGCATATCTCGAAAAGAACTTACTTATTTTTATACGGTTTTCACTAATAAATCGGTTGAGTTACTTGGAAGGTTTTAAATAAGTCAATAAAAGTTATTTCAATAGATTATTACTTGAAAATTGGAGGGTGTATAGAGCTTGATTTTTCAACTCATATAGGCTGTAGATAGGTAAAGGGCAGTGTTGTAAAAAATACTTTTTAAAAGTATTTAAGTAATTACTCAAATACTCTTAAAATAAAGTATTTAAAATACCACCCAAATACTATAAATAGTAAAGTATTTGAGTAATACTCAAATACTTTTCAGAAGTATTTAAAATAATCTTCAAATACAAAAAAAAAAATTCTTTTTACTTTTTAGTTCTGAAATAATTTGTTATAATCAAAAATGTGTTTATTGCATTTTAAAAACATGATTCGTTCAATAATCAAAATTCTGATTATTCATGTTAGTTGCACTACAACAATGAACTTTTCTCAACAGAGTTATTATATTAATTTAAAGCTATATTATGTATTTTGATATCTCATACCGTCATCGATAAACAATAATGATAATAATTGATAAAAATTTTCTTGATAAATAGGTAGCCACTAGCCAGTAGGTACTAATAATTATTAACATTATTTTCGTATAGTTAAATAATTATAAACTATAAAATATAATAGCCGTTAAGTAGAAGCTTTTTACATATATATTTTGTTAACTTAAGCTAATAGTGATACCGACTACAGATGTATCTTTTCGATCATCGTCGACAATAAGCTGTCTCCTAGAGAATAAAAAAAAATAAATAAAAGTATTCAATAAAATAGTATTAAATAGTAAAAAAAGTATTTAAAATACCATTCAAATACTTCAAAATAAAAAGTATTTAAAAAAGTATTCAATACCGAAAAAAGTATTTGAATACTTTTACTCAATTACTTTTACTCAAATACTATACAACACTGGTAAAGGGTAGCGCACACATGATTTTTTTTTAGCATACGAAAAAATAAATTATTTTTGTCAATCTAAATGGTTGCACAATTTGTTACATTTTTTATTAATATTATAATTTGAAGAAATATGGTATAAAATCTTTAAATAATAATACAAATCTTTGGCCTGGACAACGTCGGGTGGGACAGCTACAGTTGTTATAATATTTAATTATATATAGGTAGGTACATTATAGACAATAATTATTACATTTCGGTAATTAAAATTAAGTAGAAATAATAATATGTTCACTTTTATTTCCACTAAAACGGTTTTATTTATTTTTAATGCAAAAAATATTACAGTACCTTTGTCGTTGTCGAACAGTCGGGCAAGCTGAATTATGTTTCCGCCGGCGCCGCAAAACGGATCCACGGCCACTTTCACTCGGACACACTTTTCTGCCATATATTGGCTTAGTATCTCGGGACAGACTGAATAAAAGCTCTCTATAAAACCAAACATACAATTATAACATATGTATATTATGTATATTTTTATTATATTTGTGTTTTTATATAATATTACGTATTACCACTAGAAATTATTATTGGAATTTAAAAACCGAATTCCACAAGAAGAAAAATAACAAAATACACTGTTTCTCGAATATAAGTAACGCCTTTGAGTTCAAATATTTAATACGATAAAAATAGGCTTTCTTAGGATTTTAATTTTGAAAGAAATTTAATCTCGTACTAATTTTAAACATATTATAACGAGTTTGTGGGCCTTCCGCCTGTAACATATTTCACTAAAATCCGGTTTTTAATAAATCTGGATTATCAAATCAATCCTAAGGGCACCTATCGTTCTATAACTAATTTTAACTACGTTAAGTATTATTAATACTCAAGTAAAATGGAATTTAACTAAAACCATACCTTTAGCATAACTTGGACCAGCTTCAGCCACATCTTAATAATATTGTTTGACTTCACGGTTGAAACTTAGGGTACTAGTTTCTGTGTCGGCAGCTATTTTAAGTCGTGGACAAAAATCAAATAGAAAACATTACTTTAATTTAATAACACTATAGTAAAAAAAAAAAAAAAGTTAAATAGTTAAAAACTTATTCGATACAATTATGAAAAAAAACACTGTCAAAATTCATTACAATATAAATAAAATAATTTTATTCGATTAAACATTTACCAAGTGTTTATCGTCGTCCAAAAATAGACAATATATTCACCAGCTTCCTACTACAATAATAATAATAATATTTATAGCCAGCACAGTAATACACAATATAATATAATATGTTTATTTAGATAATAACCAACACAGTATAATTTCAAATTTATATACGACATAGAGCTTATACATCATGATAATAATAGATAGTTACAAAGTAAAGTTTACACCGATTAACAAAAAAATAAAAAAAAAATAGAATACTAATACATTTTTATATGAACATTATTAATATTTAATAACAAATATATTATTATACTTATATAATATAGGTAAACTGTTCATTAAAAAAAATAATATATAATAAATAATATTCAAAAATTAACAATAATATTGTTTTGTTGCTTTTCACGATTCACGATGTGAAACATAATATAATAATAGTTCTTTTAAATGATTAGGTACCTAAATGAATTAACTATTTGTTTAATAATAATTTATTTTATTAGTTAATGTATCGATCATTCGTGCTATGATTGATATCAATCATTTTAATAGATGGTTCCCTACAAGTTTTTTTATCTCAGTCAAAAAGAAAAATGTTCACCGAAAATGTACGCTACCTATTTATTATTTAGCTATGGCTCGACAACTATACTATACAGCAGGATTGTAGGAACCATTTGTTCTCTTTATTTATGTCTGTCATCATCGTTTGGAACAGTAAAAATGCTTGAATTTTCTTCAACAGCATATTTCTTGTAGGAAAGTGAATCTAGTTAGTACTTTGGTAAGTACTTTAGTACTCACTAGTTAGTACTTTGGGGTAAAAAGTAAAAATTCCAAATAGTTTTCAAAAGTATCATTAAGAACTGAGATTTTTATGCAAAACTATTTTACGAAAAAAAAACTATTTTGTTTTTTGTGTATCTCTAAAAAAAAATACCAAATTTAAATGACATTTTCGCTGAATATTGTTATATATTACCAATTTTTTTACTGTAACCATATACAACCAAAAAAATATAAAACTACAGTTATTATTTACGTACATTTTCAAATTTAAACAAGATTACTTCATATTAAAACCAAGCTTAACCAAGCAAATAGTTATTTCGTTGAAATTTAAAAATATTATTTTGTTTTCGGAATGGCAACGTTGCATTTAAAATTATGCGGAATCGTGTATATATATATTACATTTGCGGAGTCGTGTATGTATATCAGTGGCTATTTAAATCAAACTTTGCGGAATCGTTCTCCACCGCTTTATACATTGACCCACTTGTAACCTACTGTACAGCAGAGTGACATCCACATACCCACTATTATAAATTGTCTCTGCGTTCAAACATTTAAGTTAATTTTAATGCACAATATATTATGACTATACGTCAAAATATTTGCTTTAATAAAGGAAATAATGTATACGGTAATTAAAAAAAATATTTCATATCACAGAATAGTACTGACTTAATTAAGTAGGTATGTCGGACATGTGACACAATGTAGCTTTAAATTGGAATTATGAATTTTCAAGTAAATGCATTTCATGATATTCTAAAAACAAAACTAGGTACATTTATTAATGCTATGTTTAATTATTATAAATAGCTTTATTTATACATTTTATGTAAACAATTTTTCGATTTCTAATAGTGTTTTATTTTCCGTTTCTGGTAAATAAAAGTATAAGTAGAGTGATCCAAAAATGCCCAAACAACCCAAGAGAACCATAGTGTATTCCAAGGTCAATAGAATCACTATTTCTATGTATGATTTTGTTAATATGAATATTAATAAATAAGACAATCCTGCAGATGAGCCAGTCGCAACACCTCGGACTCTGAAAAAAAAAATCATAACCAACTGCAATTAGATTAAATAATTAAAAGGATGGAATATACCTGATGGCTGATTCGTAATTTTATATGTCAATTATAAAAATAAACAATATTCCCTAAAATTAGGTACCTACATAGATATTATTCTTCGGTGAGTACTGAGTATAGAATATTGTACTTACTATCTCTAATTATCATAATCATCCCCAAAAATGTACGATGTTGTAATCTACTTTTAGTAAATATTAGTACTACACTATTACATAATAATAATTTATAATTAATGGGTAGGTAACACAGCTATGTTAAAATATTATAATAATATATGTATATATAATATTATATCGGCTTTCAATTCTCTAATGCTTGAATAATCATCAAATTACTTGACCAGCCAAGTAGACCACCCCCCCCCCCCCCTTGGGAATTATTTAACGAATAATTTATTTATAGTAATCTATTTTACGAACACATAACGTATATCGTTGTTTCGTGTCACCGATAATGCACCAGGAGGTAGCGAAGAACAAAATATATCAAATATCAAATATTCGTACAAGTACTCTGTTCCTTCTAACTACCTATAGGTACATAATATGGTGACTATCAACAAATATAGCGAATATTTCTCAAAAACGGTGGAGTAGTATTTGGGTCTATAAGCTACAAAAGTACAAACATACGGACAGTAATACATTTTTATCTTGAATCAAAAATTATTTGATGGATATCACAATTTTAAGTCCTAACATATATTTTTATGTACACCATTAAGAAACCACTATAAATTCTTAAAAAAAAAAAAAGAAAAATAATCATATTAATATAGACATTTTTTTCCCTTTAAAGTTTAATACTATATACACTAGGTACCTATATTAGAATATTATAAATTATATTTAGTGTGGGAATAAAAATCCCCTACATTCTCTCCACCATAAATACTATACCGTCTCTCAGTATAACTTGTTGATTTTATTGAAACATATTCGTCAACTGACTTATTGTTATATTTCTAAGAATAGTAAATTATTGTGTGAGAAAATGTATAATTTTAATGAGCTTTACTTGTTTGGAAAAACTTCACTAAGTAACATCCATGGCAAAATAATGACTGAAGCTCCAAAAAAGTTAATGCCACATAATATAGTTATAGGAATCCAAGGAGTTGAGTAGATATAGCCATTCTTAATTAATACAATGTAGATTCCGAATAGAAACATCAATAATGTGTTGATAAAAATGTCGAATTAGTCAAAAACCTTTTAACCAGATAATGGACGGTCAACACTACTATCAAGGATCCAATAGTTTGTGGTACAGCAAAATCTACCTGGAAATATTTCAATAAAAATATTTATTATTTTACCTATAAAAGTGTATATATTTCCGTAGTACCTATATTTACTAAGAGCAAACTTTGATTATTCGATATACCAACTTCTGTCATGATTTTACTGGTATACGGTCGGTACACTGCTAACGATACCGGAAATCAGGAAATAAAACATTATAAATATAAAAGGTCTGTACACCGAAGGATCTTTAAGCTCGGCTAATTTTGATGATAAATTCCTAAGATTAACATCGTCGGTTCTTCGATGAGTTCCAGATACTTCGTTATATCGGATGAGTTCAAGGAGTTCGGTTTTGACAATTTCGGGTTCTACCCACCCTCTTAACCAACACAAGGTCTTTTTGGATTTTTCGTTTTTCGCTTTGGAAACCAGCCACACTGGAGACTCTGGAATCTATAAGCAATACAGGCTCATGTGTACCATTAAAATTAACTTATACGTACAACAAACATATAGGTAGGTACCAAAATCACAAGGCATATACACGTGATCGGACAAAGTGTACTCAGCAATGCGACGGTTCTCCATTCGAATAAATATCCCAAAAAGTAAGTCAACAACACTCCAAGCATAGACGAGGTACACGCCAATGAAGCTATCGATCCCCTGAGTCTCGGTTCGGTTATTTCGCCGATGTACGACAATATCGGGGCTTCGCTGAATCCTATGCCCAAACCCATCATCACGGTGGACGAGTAAAGTGAAACTGTGTAGTACAGCAATATCCATCCGAAAGTACTGGGGACGTTGGCGAGAATCATGCACCGTTTCCTTCCATATCTTTCTTGCAGGAATCCCGATAGAAAACTTCCGGTCGGATGAAATATAAACAATATACTCCCTGCATAAAGTAAAAATATAAATGTATAATTGAGCTTACCTATTTGATGCGGCAGAGTAAGGGTGATTTGAACTGGTGCGTGGACAGCAGTTTGTATAATATTATATTGATAGGTAAATACAATAATATTATTAAACTCCACAATTTATCACAAAACCGACGTATATAAGCCGAGTACAATTTCGTGAAACGTATTGTAGCGCAGTGTTCTGATTTTCAATTTGATGAACTCACTAAATAGCGAACCTCTAGTTTTTTAATAATCTTAACCTTTTTTTGGTTACATAAGATAGTTCATGTTCTGAAATCTCAATGAACTAATAAATACATAATTTAGAATTAAATACATACTAGTTGTTCAAATATTTTCATCATTATAAATAATAATAAATTGTATCTACCTATATGTATGATACATCATAATATTATTTTTCTTATCCATAATTGTTAAATGTTACAAGAACAATGATAAAAATATAATCGAATCTACAATGTGGCTGGACTTGTTTTTAGCAAGTCAGGCCGGTCAGTTAGTACCCACAACAACTATTATTGCTAACACATATTGTGATGTGGTGTGAGTTATTGGAAAACAGTCAAGACTCGACAGAGAGCAATATTATAGAATAAATCAATTATTTTGAGTTAGGTTAGTATAATATTCCTTTTTTTCAACGTCTAGAGTATTTCCATTACTTACAAATGTTATACTTACCCTAAACTGTAAATCTATTATTTATATTATATAATAACCATACCACGAAACTTCAGTTAATGTTAATGAGAATTCACTGTCCGAATTTTGATATAATTGTTGAATAACAATTGTGGGCATTCCTATTTCCGTGCCCAATCCAATTAATAGAAAGTTCTGCGCTGTTGTAGCGAAAATCTGCGTTATTTAATTGCAGTTGTTTTAGTTTGTTTTATATTTTAAAAAATTTTTGTATACATAATATATTATAATATGATACCAACTTGTGCCTGCCACCGTAGCCTTTGGACCGTAGGTTTTGGGAGTATTGTCCATGTTATTTTTATTTTTATTAGACATTGTTGACTCGCCTAAGAAGAACTACAAATTACAATAATTTAAAAAAAAATTTGCTAGGTTATCTACCTTATAGGTGTATACGCGTACGTCTAAGTTTTAGAGTAAAATCAACCGTCGATAATTACTATAAAATGTCGGTTTTTCCAGTCAGACAGTATCGCGGACACATGTAATTTTTTTTTTTTTATTAAATAAAATTAATTTATTATAAATTATATAGAGCTCAAAAGAACAAGTTTATAAGAATTTAATAAGATGAATCTATCTACCGCCTGTAAGCAAGCTTGTATTGATGGTAGAGAGCTACAAAATCTAGTAATTAATATAATAATCGATGCCTGTAGCTTATAGGCACTCGTACTTTTCCTTATTTTTTAATGTCATTATGAAATCTAACGTTTCCTGTTTGTGTCACTTTGAGACTTGTTTTTAGTATACATATTAAATAATAACTGTTCGAAACATATCATAAAATAAGCATAACACCTGTTTCGAGGAAATATCTAGCCTGAAATGGAAAAAAAATATGGAATAAACGAGAAAGTAACGAAATTCTTAAATTAAATAATATTATAATAAATTGTCCGCAATTTGAATAATACGAAGACGATGCAAAGCGAAAAATTTTCATCTAAATCTACAACTAAATTATCATAAATTATCATAAATTATCATCCATTTTCTTTGTCTAGCACTTCACAAAGTTAGAAAAGTGTGAAATTTCTTCCTAGAAACCCACATAATCTCTAAATCCAAATTATTTTAAACTAAGATCACTTTTATATATGTGAAAAATCTCTGCAATTATTTATTGCAACTATTAGTACCACACGATTCATGATGACAAGATGTGCATAAATTTCCTCACCACCATTTGCTTGTTAAACGTAAGACATTACATCGTCCATGTTGTTTAAACGCAAGAGGTATTATACGTGGCGCGTTTTTTTTATTGTGGTGTCCCCGGTAGGCATAGTCCACATTTTAAGAAAGTCTTTTACAGTAGTAAGCTGTATGGGTGACATTAATGATTTTATAATAAATAGCTTGTCTGTGAAATATTAAGCACCTAATGGGAATATCTAGCCTCTAATGGAAAATGTATGAATTATCACGCGAATCACACTTCTTTAGCGCACCAAGCGTCGTCATTGAACCACACGTCGTCAAGGCACCATACGTCGTCAGCGAACCGAACGTCCTGAGCGCAACGGCACGTCGTCAGCGATCCGCACGTCGTCAGCGAACCGCCAGTTACGCAGCGAACCGCATGTCGTCAGCGAACCGCACAAAGTCGGCTGCAGCGCACCGTGTGGCCAATCCCGGATTATGGGAGGGGGGTCAAGGGGGGCACGGTCTCAGGGCCCATTGGTTTTGGGGGCCCATATGTTTCCCCAATATATATTTCAAATACAGTTTTCAAAAAAAAAAAATTATTGAAGTAGGTAAGTATAGCAGGTAAATTATTATTAATAACAAAATTATAAAATAAAATTGTTCTCCATTTTATACCACAAAAAATTACTATAAATAATGAACTATAATGTTTGCCAACAAATATGTTTTTTTTTTTTTTCGAGCATTTTATATGACCGATTTAACTATTTAAGTATACAAAAAGGTAGTTATAAGAAAAAAATATTTAGCTCTTAATAAATTAGGTATTTCAGTTACAAGTATTATTGCATATTAAACTAAACTTTAATGAACCATAGTCTAACCTAACCTAACGAACCAAAATTTATCATTTTACTGTCAAAATATTCAGAAAAAAGTTTTACCAGAATCCATCGAAAAATATAGTGTTTACCATTTGAAAAAATAAAGTAGATTTTATTATTGATACAACTGCGTGTTTATAAATGTTGAAAATGTTGTGAAAAAATTGCTTGTTAAAAATAAAGTAACACGTCTTTTTTTGTTTTAAGGAAATTCCATATCATTGATTCATAATTGTTAAAAAAAAAACACGTTCAATGACATATGATACACCCTGTATATTTGTTGTATAGTAAAAAATTATACAGTAATATAAATTCGTTAATATTTAATGATACAATTATTTTTAATTTAAAGTTGAAAGAGGGCCCACTAAGTGTATAGGTGTCCCGGGGCCCAATCGATCCTTAATCCGGCCTTGCATGCGTCGTTGGCAAACCACACGTTACGTCAGCGAACCGCACGTCGTCAGCGAACCACACGTCGTCAGCGCACCGCACGTCGTCAGCGAACCGCACGTCGTCAGCGAACCGCCCGTTAACGCAGAGAACGACACGTCGTCAGCGAACCACACGTACGTCAACGACGTGCACGTCGTAACAAACCACACGTGCGTCAAAGAACTACACTTCGTTATCAAACCGCTCATCAGGACCGCTAGGATGCCATCGGCACAATCCCAATCTTTACATGGAAATTATCGAAGATTTTATGGGAAATGTATGCTATTCTATGAAACATCAAACCACTAACGGAAAATATATAAATTAAATAGTCGGCTAATGTCAAGGTGGTATTAGAAAACGTAGATCGACATTGGACCATATTGTTACACTGAGACAGATAATGGCTAAATTTTATAAATTTGATAAAGAACTGCAACTGAAAACTGAAATTTGATTAAGAATCTTTATAGACTATAAAAAAGCTTATGACTGAATTGACAAACTATGAGAAGCACTGGAAGAACTAGGCATTCCTAACAAGTAAGTAAGTCTTATAAAATGATGTAACAATAAAAATGTATGCGTAGTTCGATTCCTGTAGGAAATGTCTGAAACCTTTGAGGTAAAGTCAGGTCTTCTACAATGTTAATGCTTTATCGTCCACTCTACTGAATCAACCATTAGACAATTAAATGATAGAAGTATGGGATGGTCGAAAAATGGAAATATTATGTAGTGAACGAGTAATATTGGCGTAAGCAGATGAAGAATTGAAGTCAAAAATACTTGTCCAGACTCTTAGCAAGTAAAATTATGGGGCTAAGTAATGCAGGGCTACGTGTAAATGGGGAAAAGACGAAATATTTAATGGTAGCAAGAAGAAGCTCAAACATAGACCTATGAAAGCAGAAAAAAATCAAGAATAATACAAAGGCGATGGGCCGCGAACAGTGTTTTTTTTAATATGTCGCAGGGTATACTTAAGTATGGAAAAGTATGGAAATTCTAGTCAATACTGATTTAAAAATAAATAAATTTAAAATAAAGAAAAGAAAATGATGGAATTTCAGTAAAAATGCTCAAATTAAATATACATTCATTGAATAAACCATTATCACACATTTTCAATTTAGCTATAACAACATCTACTATTCCGGAATGCTTTAAAATTTCAGTAATTACACCAATACACAAAAAAGGTGACAAATCTATTATTGAAAATGATCGCCCATTCTAACAAATATAAAATATTGCCAAATCTATTGAAAAAATTATTAAAAAAGAATAAGTCCATTACCTTGAAAGTAATAATCTTCTATCATGTACCCAATTCGGGTTTGGACCCGGTAAAAGTACCGAACAAGTATCGAAAATAAAAAAAAATGTGCAACTGATTACTTAGATCTAGCGAAAGCCTTTGATACTATAGACCATAAAATATTACTATAAAATGTTAACATACTTGGTATCAATGGAACGGCTCAGAATTCATTAAGTTCATACTTGAAAAATAGAAAACAACACGTTCGAATAAACAATGAATTAAGCGAAGAAACTTCAATAATATGTGGTGTACCTCAAAGGACAACTCTATCTCGCCTACACTGTTTAATATATATATATATAAATCAAATTAATAACTTGAATACACACTGAAAACTATATAGTTTGCTACGCAAATGATACAGTACTTTTCATTGAAGGCCAAACCTTGGATGAAGTATTTGCTAGTGTTCAATCCGACATGAGTAAATTACAAAAATGGCTCAATGAAAATAATTTATTCCTAAACTTAGAAAAAATCTTCATATTACATTATTGCCACACTTTAAATTAATTCGAATCAACCAAATAAAACAAATCTATGTATACATGAGAATGACTGTTTAAATCAAAATATATGTGCATGCCAAACATTTGTAAAAATAGTTTTAAAAACTGTAAATACTAAGGTAGAGAAATGTGTCATAATCATAAATGGAATGACCACATAAAATATAAATACTTATGTATGCACTTAAAAATTAACAGATATTTTAGAACTTAAGACGATTTGAGTAGTGTATCAAGCATTAATAGAATCTATAATTAATTATAGTATTTCTATATGGGGAGTTACGTATGATGCAACTATGGATCCATTAAAAAAAATCCAAAACAAGATACTAAAAATTATTCTAAAAAAAGATTCAAGATACCACTCAAAATATTTATATAATGACATGAATGTACTACCAATAAAAAAATTATTTTATAAAGCATCGGTACTTTACATAACTAAAAATAACCTTACTTTTAAAATTGAACACGGACTCAAAACTAGGCAAATATCTAATATCAAAGTACTATAACTATGCTCAAAAAATTAACAATATACCATCAATAGAAATAAAACACAGCAACTCTTTTATGATTCTTAAAATAAATAATTATACTTTGGCTATTACAAGAACAAAATATAGACAGACTCATAACAAACGTATATAATTACTGCATTATTTATCATATTAGTTGTACGACTTTAGAAATTATTGTTAGTTTAAGTTTTATATTACCATATTATATTGTATTATTTTACTACACAATTTTTTAAATAATACTATATTATATAAACAAAGAGAAGAAAATATATATTATTTATATTATTAATATTATAGTTAGGTATGTGAGAAATGTATATTACAAATTGTAAATATTTAATTTATAAGAACTATATTTTAATGTATTTATATTTCAAATTGTGAACTCATGGGCCCCCCACGTACATGTTCAGTGGGGCCCATTATCTTCTTGAAGAATAAATTAAAATTGAATTTAAAAAAAAAATACCTGTGA